ACTGGCGCGAATGGTGAACGAGCGGGCACAGAAGGCGCTGTCCGCAGAGGACGAGCGCGAGCGACAGGAGGTCGAGAAGCGGAACCGCTATGCCCAGGAGATAAGACAGCAGCTGAGCGAGCGGGAGAACCTGCGCTACCTGGAGGCCAAGCGGGTGGCCGACGAGGCCAAGGACATTCGCCGGGCGACCGAGCTGCTGCGCGAGCAGGAGGAGCAGCAGCGCGCCTTCGCCCAACTGCGCAAGCAGCGGTTCCGCGAGGAGCTGCAGCGCATCAGGGACATGTCCAACGTGTTCAAGACCATGCTGAGCGAGCAGGAGCGACTGGCCGACCTGCGGGTGACGGCCTACATGCGAGAGAAGCAGGAGAAGGAGCGCCAGTTGAAGGAGCTGCAGCGTCTGGCCAAAAAGGAGTTCGAGCGCCGCCAGCAGCGCATCTTCACGGTGGCCGCCGAGGCCATTGAAACCCGCCAGACCAACGAGGAGCTCAAGTATCTGAAGGAGCGCGACCGCGTCGAGCGCGAGTACCGCCAGCGGGAGAAGGAGGCGGTCATCGCGCGGCAGGAGACGGAGCGGGACCTGCTCGAGTCGCGTGCCCAGCAGGCCAAGGAGATGAAGCACCGCCTGGCCCTGGAGATCGCACACGCCGGCGAGGAGTTCGCCAAGGTCATGGACCGCATGCGGGAGGAGGAGGAGAAGCAGAAGGCGCTGGATCGCCAGCGCGACGCCCAGCGGCAGATGTACCGCAAGGACTTGAGGCAGCAGATGACCGACAAGCAGGAGGAGCGCCGCCGCTTGGCCGACCAGGAGGCCGGGCGGGTCCAGAAGTGGCTCGACCAGGAGAAGCAGCGCGACGCGAACATCCAGCAGGTGATCAGCGCCAAGATCGCCGCCATGCGGGAGAACTGCCTGCCGGAGAAGTATCTTCGGGAGGTGGAGAAGCAGCTGAAGAGCATACAGTCAAGCCGCAACCGGATTCGCTAGAAGGAGCACTTTGTGGTTGCCTAGGTTCAGGCTGGTGAGAATGATGGTAGATGGGTTCCAACTGCCGCCCGAAAGTATATCTGCTCAGTTGGTAAGATAGTTACTTAAATGAGAGTAAAATAAGGGAAATATGAACTTTACTAATTCGAACATAGCTCAAATCATTGTTTAGTTTTTGTAGCCCTTTTTTGATTTGCCGCAAATATATATTAAGTCTTCAGAGTAAAAGGTTCCAAGAAAAGGTTACAACTTGACCTTTTAGTTTACTTTAAACCAGTCAATATCCTAATATATTTTAAATGAACTATATACTATACAAGTATATGTTTAAATTAAGTTCGCCATATTAAATAAATATACTTTGAATGGATTTCTAGACCACTGCCTGTATAGTTTTCGATTGTTTTTTTGTGGATCTCGGATAATGTCCCAAAAGGTTCGCTTATTCCATTGGCTGCCTGAAAGTATACCATAAAATTGACAACTAAAAGTAACTGGCAAGCGAAATCAAAGAACCGCCATGATGACGATGCCACATTGTTGCGCGTGTGGCAGAAATGGCCGCCCACGCGTCACGCTAATTTCCAACTATGTGGGCGTTTAGGCCACCTTCCCCACCTTTAGTTCTTTTCCTCCGCTTATCCTCCGCTTTTGCCAGCGGGTGACAGAACCCCAAAGGCAACGCATACCGCAAACAATTACTAGGGGAGATGGGTGACTGGAGACGGGGAACGGGAAAACTACGGCCTCAGTGCCATGGAAAAAGTGGTAGCCAACTTTTGGCTACAATAAAATTTTATTATGCCGCACACACGCGCACAGAGCATACACACACACACTCTCACGCAGTGGGGCAAACAATGGAGCTGACGAAGATGAAGCTGAAGCTGAAGATGCCACCAACAACGACAACGACAACGGCAACGACGAACTCTTGTGCATGGTTCAATTATCGTATTTCATGATTCGTTAAATTTTCGCATACGCCAAAAAAATACGAAAGACAAGTCCCACACCTCCTACCTCCCACCGCCTACCGCCACCCACCAGGTTGCGGGCAAAGAAAAGCCAAGGCAAGGAACTGGTTTTCCCCTGGCAACCATTGTGATGTCTACCTTCACCGGGACCCGGGTTCCGGAGATGGACGCGCTCGGGTTGGGGATGAGCCTAGTATGCACAGAAAAAAATATCAGAAGCCAAGGCAGAGATAAGGTTTTATTTTAGAAGGTCTAATAAGGTCTTTCCTTAGACATACGAAACTAAATAATAATATTATCAAGACTATAATATTAACGGTTATCATGACAAATTTGAACTTTGACGGGAAAAGGGTTAAATGTTAACCACTTTACTTACTTGGAAACAAAGTTCTTACAATAAATGACTCTTAACATAGTTATTTAAATGAGAAAGAAAGAAAACAACTTATTGCTAATTCATAGATCATCTCAACAAGATCAATATAATAATGCTGAAAATATAAATAGTAATTCCAGAGACAATTACAAACTCTAATAAACTAGTAAATTATTATGGTTCTTTGAAATTGTTAACAAAATTAAATTTAGAACATTTTTAAGTTAGCCTAGGAAAAATAATATAAAAACAAGAAAGGAAGCTAACTTCGGCACGCCGAAGTTTATATACCCTTGCAGATAGAACTTCTATGAATAGGAATCCATACAATAAAAATTATATATATTTGTGTTAAAAAACAATGAAGTAATACCTGCTATCACTTCATTCACCTATACATATTATATTTGCAGTTTTACATTCACAGATTTGCATTTTTCCTCTACATCAAACGATCGCTTGTATGGCACCTATATGATATAGTCGTCCGATTTTCATAAAATTTGACACTAAATTTAAAGACTAATATAAAATGGCTATACCTCAATTTTATGAAAATCTGTTGAAAACCGAAAAAGTTATAATTTTTAATTGTATTAATTTCTCAATCGTTCCTATGGGAGCTATATGATATAGTAGTCCGATTTTCATAAAATTTTACACAAAATTGTAGAGTATAGTAAAATGGCTATATCTCAAATTTGATCCAATTCTATTGAAAACTGAAAAGTTAAAAATTTTTTTGTAAAAATTCCGACATATATACGAGTGAGAGTATATAGAAGGCTAAGTACAACGTTTTATTCAGATAGCTTTAAAACTGAGAGACTAGTTTGCGTAGAAACGGACAGACGGACAGAAGGACAGAAGGACAGACGGACAGACGGACAGACGGACAGACGGACAGACGGACAGACGGACATGGCTAGATCGACTCGGCTGTTGATCCTGATCAAGAATATATATACTTTATATAGTCGGAGGTGCCTCCTTCACTGCGTTGCAAACTTCTGACTGAAATTATAATACCCTGCAAGGGTATAATAAGAGCAAAAATGTAACTTAGCGCCTACGTTTTTCTTTCTGTGTGTTGGCCTGGGATTGCCTGCCACTCGCATATGGCTGTAATAATTCCAATGACAATAAACGTTGTCGTATTTACAAGTACCGGCACACACACACACACACACACACACACTGCGACGTGAATTGATGAGAAAAGTTTTTGAGGAAATGTCAATAGCGGAGCGGAGACAAACTATGCTCCGATGTGCTAGGGAGTCTGCGCGCACAGTGGGGCGAAACCAGGCGGACGCTGGGCCAGAAGGGCGGCAGGCAGTTATGACTGCTCGGCAGCACCTGCGCGGCCCACTGTGCCACTGCTGCGGCATCTTTGGCATTTATAAATATCGTGCTGGAGAAAAGGTAAGACTGCAAAAATATCGATATTGTAATTGGAGGAAAGTAAGACGCAGCTGCCTCAGCATCCACTGCACTCCCTCCACTCCACCTCCTGCCGCTCCTCTTGCAGCCCTATTCAGCTACGCTCCCCCTCAAAATGTATCTGCAAGATTGCACACAATTGTTTTGTATTAGCAAAGTGATTTCTTGCCTCATTTTGGCTTCCTTGTGCGCTACCTCCGATATGTGTGCTTAAAAATAAATTGCGTGGCTTTAGTTTTGCGTTTACTTCGATGGCTTTCTTTTGTAGTTGCGGTCTGGTTTATCTGCCGCAGAAGCACTCCGCCTTCTTGGGGTCCCTTTGTTGTGCTGGAAGGTATGTTATGTTGAGTACTTCAAAGAGGGGCAAGACAGATGCCTGTGCCTTCGGTATCTGTATCCGCCAAGAATCCCTCGCATATCTAGGTGACTGGGTAATGGGCCTCAATTGCGCCTCAAATTTAAGACATCAATCGTGCCCCTATTTGCATTCCAATGCGGTGTGTGGGGGCGGCAGAATCGAAATTGAAAATCAATATAAATGAGGAAGCCGCTTGATTGGACCGCCGCGCGTCGGGGAGGTGTCGCCGCGAAATGGATTTGTGGAGGTCACTGGCAGGAAGCCGCGCATTGAGCGGCAGATTGAGCGCAAAAATGCTGCATTATAAATAGACGAAATTCGGTTTAATTGAACAAGGCCGATCAATAAGGCTATATATGTTAGATGGAGGCATGATTGATGGCCTGCCAACCGTCTGGGGAACCCTTTTTACCTTCTAATCCCTCCGATAAGGCGGAGCACGCCCTCTCAACTCACCTGCTTAAATAGGCGCCAAGTCGTAGCCAAGAAATTCCCAGGGAGATGGGGACAAGAGGAACCTATGCGAATCTTGGGTGTGACTGCGGGAGGGAAACATTTCTGCGATTAGGAAATACATTGCTCCGATTAGATACGGGACACGCTTGAGACATGTACAATTAGTCGGCCCCAAAGTTATTGTTATTTTTACTTCGCTTTCTGCTAGTGGAATTATGGCCACAATTACATATTTATTTATCTATCTATCTATCTGATAGGCGTGTTATCTGGCCTTTGTTTACGGACAATTCACGGCAGAAGTCGCCACCAGACCCTGCCTCGATAATGGGGCTTCCTGGAATTGTGGGCGTGATCTGGCTGGAATGTCGCGGACCGAAACTTTGAAAAATTCCAACTCGTAAATCACTTGGGCAATAAATATTTAATCAGCCTGCAGAGCAAACACTTAGATTAAGCCAAACATAATTAACATAGGCAAGTAATAATAATAAACTCGACTCAATTGATTTGTTCATAAATCTCGCGCCTCGCTCCCATCCTCGCATGCGAGTGCTCTCCGGGACCGTAAGCTCCCCCGTCATTATTTATATGGCATTATCGGCCAGAAAGCTGTGCAGTCCGGCCGGCGGTCGGCGTCGCTGCCAAGAGATTGTCGCAGCTGATTGGGAGCGCAGCGAGCTCCGCATTGGCGGTCTGCCCACTTCAAAAGCGGCGGCGGCGGCGGCGACGTGACTGCGCCATTGTTTACAAACAAACTGCAGTTGGAGTCGGAGCCTGCGGCAGGCGGGATAGTGGGTGGCGGGGTGGGGCTTGTACCAGAAGCCAGAGCCAAGATACAGTGGCTCCATCCATCTCTGAAAATGCCTCCGAATGATATCTCCCAACTTGGGGCTGGGCCCACTGTGCGTTGCACAATTGATCGCCGTTCGCCTCGGATTTCGTAAATCGCCGGCATTGGAGGAGGAGGAGGAGGGGGAGCAGGGGTGGACAGTGGCATATCAGGTAGAGAGTGCGCCGCGCGCTTATCACATATTTCTGTTTGCGTCGATTTCTAAATGGAAAAATAGTCGAAATAGCAGCCGCCGTCCGATAAGTCCCTGATTAGTCCCTCCTGCGCGCGCCTTTCCAGCTTGGCGGCTCCGCAGCTGTCTTAGACGACATGGGCCAGGTCGCTGGGAGGCGGGGAGGGGCGCGTTGCAACCCGCTTGTAGACGTCGTCGACGTCTTCATCCTCATTGTGGGAGTCGTGGGAATCGTCAGAGTCGTGGGAGTCGTGGGAATCGTGCGAGTCCTCGGAGCCCCGGGAATCCTCTTCCTCAGAGTCGTGGATGTCGTCCAGCGGGGTGGTGGTGGTCATCGAAGCCGAGGCGGCTGTGGCCAGGAAGTGTACCTTGGCGGAGCCTGCCGAGTTGTTGTTCTCCGCCATCAGCTGGTGATGGTGGTGCATGTGTTGGCAGGAAGTGTAGCCCAACGTGGGCGGGCACCTGGAGGAGCCACGAGGACGGTGGCGAAGTAGATCTCCCACATAGACGGCGGTGAGGGTGGCGTAGGTGGCGCCAAGGATAGCTCCGGCCAGAACATCGGACCAGTGATGCCAGTAGTCGGCCACGCGGCTCAACGACACACAGAGAGCGGCCATCAGGAGCAGGAACTGCAGGACATGCCTCAGCACCCTCACCCCACCTCGCCCCCGCCACACACCGTGGACGTAGAGGGCCAGGAGCATCATCGAGTAGAAACTAAGGCTGCTGTGGGCGCTCGGAAAGCTCACGTGCAGCTCTCGGATTTGGCGCGCCGAGAGGTTGCGGTTGGTGCAGTGGAAGTGCTCCACGTAGAGGCCGGCGTTCTGGGGATCCGAGCAGCTGCTGCCGTCGCTCAGGCTCGGCAGGCAGCCCTGGTAGAAGTGCGGCCTTAGACGCCCCACCGCATCCTTGGCCAGCTCGGTGGTCAGGTAGGTGGCGATGAAGCCGAAGCTGAAGGTGGCCTCCGCGCGCCAAAGGTTGCGCAGATAGAGCCTGGTGCGGAAGCGCTTGCAGATGCGCATCACCTCCACCACGGCCACGAAGAGCATCGGCAGCAGCAGCATCATCAGCAGCAGCATCGGCACCGTGATCGTGCAGTCTTTGTAGGGATACCGGAGGCTCAAGTCCGCACAGAAAAAGCCGCGCTTAAAGGTGTGCATTGTGATTCCGACTCTATTTGGGTTCCTCTATTATTGTTACGACTGGACCTGGTCCTACTCAAGTCGCGCTCTTATCGCGTGGGCCCAAGCCGATCGCTTGACACTTGGCACTGGCACATTTGTCTCTGATTCTGCGCGGATTAATCAAATTTCACGCCCAATCTCGGGGCCAAGTGCTCACTCACTGTACACTGTAGGCTGTTTGCTATTTATTTTCGGCTGTCACACAAACTGCGCACTTTCGAAAAGCCCGCGCACGACTTCTCAGGCCGGGTTCAAAGGCGATTTTCTTCTTCGCGGGAAATTAGCGAATTGCGGGCATCAGCCGTCAGTCTGCGCCGCCTGCAGCTCGCAGCCCATGAACCAATGGCAGCGGACCAAGCGAACCACGAACGAACCGCCTCGTCCGCGCTCTGTTCGATGTCTATAAAGCGCTCTGGGTCGCGCTGACGTTTTGTTTGGGATCGGATCGGCGATGAATGTGACTAGCTCGCCGTGACTGCGACTGCGACTGCGACTGAGACTGTGACGGAGACTGTGACGGAGAGCAACTGCGAGTGCGACGATCGCTGCCGAGCTGCCGGTAGCGACTGCCCGTCGAGTTCGAGGCAGGCGCTCGCCTCTGGCCCGGTGGAGTGCCTACGGTCTACGGTCTACAGCCTACGGTCTTCGGATCGGAGAACCCACCGCGTCGAAGGTTCCCAGCGCTGTGTACATTTCGCATTGATATTGGATTTCAATGGTACTTGTACTCCTTATCACGACCGCTCTTCTCTCACTTGGGTCGTACACTCGAAACATAATTCGTACTTTGTCGACTAATATTAAGTTAAAAAGAAATCATATATCCTTGCTTCGCATTAGAATTTCTATTTACGCATATTGACAAGGTTGCAGATTTTTCGTCTATTCTGTTTTGATAGAAATGGAAGAGTATAAAGGTATCGGTTTCCGTACTATTTATTAGTTTATTTTTCTCTATCATTGCAGTGTGGGCTTTATACAGTAAGCTTATAAGAATGTAGGTTTTAGTTTACCTGATAGATTGGAATAGAATACAAGACCAATAATGAGACAAAAAAAAATAAACATATTTAGTTCTACCGGTTCAAAACTTTGTTTAAATGAGTGGAATTTCTTAACTGTGTTCTTTAGTTAGCTTGATTTAATAAAAATAAATAAAAACTTCAGTATTATTATTTTGTAAGACAAGTACAGAAAAGGGCTCAAAATTCATAGGTTTCGATTTTTCAGTTGCGAGTCACAGAAATCTACCTTGAGAATTTTTAAGTCATTCCTTAACTAAACTCTTATTATTTTCGATTGAAAAATACGTAACGAAAAAAAAAAACAGAATATCTAGGGCGCCAAAGAAAGCTCTTTCTTTGGTTTTGAAATAGATTCTATAAGTATGCAATGCAATGTTTTAGGTACTAAATTCGTCGAACATTTGCTTTTACGACCCCAATTTTTTGCAAGTTTTTATGAATTAAAAAACCATTGAAATCGAAATCATATTGTACCATTAAAAAGAAACTAAGCTTAGCAGTGTTAAAAAATTTAATAAAAAAATTACAGTGTTTGATAAAGTTTAAAAAACTTTTTCGCAATTCGTTGGCTTATTATTTTTTCTATTATTAGAAGATGTCATTCGCTTTTATTATTTAAGTGTTGGATTGTACAGAAAATGTCAAAAAATAATCATTACCAAGGAACAAATTTTAGAAATTGGTATTATTAGAGTGTTATAGAAGTAATCATTTGATATATATGTATATAATTTTGCAAGTTCTTAACTTGTCTCGTACAGTGGAGCTCGTTCTGCTGTCGCCATTGGCCTCGCCACGAATGTTGCTAATGAGGAAACTATTGAATTGTTTCAAGGTTTGCTCTGCTCAGTTTGTTTAGGTTTGTTTGCCGGCGACTTGGCATTTGCGCATAATGAAAGAGTTGCATTCGAGTCGCTTGAAATGCGGATGCCCAGGCAGATGGATGGGGATGTGGAGATGTGAAGATGGGAGCTGGGAGTGGAGTGGACCGCAGGAGTTCCTTCGGTTGCCTGCGGTGGCCATTGGAGTAGGTCATTGCAACGTGACTTAAGACGGTTGCTACTCCGCTGCGTGCCTTTGTGGCATTTGCGTTGATGTAGGTCGTTGCTCGGTCCCCAGTGAGTAAGCGGAGCTCGAGGGGGCCCATGGAGAGGGTCGGGAGCGGAGACGAAGGCAAACAAACACTGGCCGGACTCCGCCGAATGCTGGAGCTGGAGTTGTGCTGGAACTGAGGCTGGAGCCGGCCAGAGTGCATAAACTGCAGTCAGTTTATGGCCACTTCGTATTTGCACTACGAATCGGGCTCTTTATGGCAATTTTCAAGTGCTCAATTTACATCGGAATTGCTGGCTTGCAACTATTTGCTGTTAATTTATGCTAATTTTGGAGTCCCACTGAAAGGAAATTACTCCGAATTGGTCGGACAATGGACCATGTGTCCCAGGTTTATGCAAATGGCCAAGCCGAAGAGTGTTCCTTGCTGCATACAGAGCCGTCACCTTGGCTTGTTGGGGGGTTTTGGTATGTTAAATTATTCTATAGAATAATTCCTTTATTGCACTCATCGTAAATCTAAATCATTTTAACCAAATCGATGGAATAGCAACAGGAGTTCCAGTCTTTATTAAAGCATTTTCTGCCTTGTCATATCTGTACATAAAGCGAGAAAGTTCTTAAATAAATAACGTCAAGAACAAAGATACTTAAGGTGTTTTTACTGTACAACTTTTAGCAGCAGACCAAAACCAAAAAAATTAATCGGAGTGTAAGATATTTTTAAAGTTAAGTTAAGACTGAATCTATTCAAATATAACATTTTAAGCTAACTTTTCGCCAAATTTGGTTGACATTTAAAAATATTAACAAAAAAAAAAAATATATATATATATTACAAATAACAATACAATTTTAAGTGTAATATTTTTGACTGATATCTATTCAAATATAAAATTGTATGCTACCATTTCGTCAAATTTAATTGACACTTATAAATATAAAAAAAAAAAAAAAAAAAGAATAAATAAAATAACAACATTAATACATAACAATAAAATGAAAAGTGCAATATTATTGTATACTTGTCTTATTCAGTTTTTAACATTACAATGTCCGAAGTGTTCCGTTTTTATGTAATTTATTGCTTTAAAATTCAAGTTCAAAGTAAATGCGCAAGCACTTTTTTCCAGAGGGTCACCGGATGTTACGATGGCAAATTTTAAGTAAAATGTAAGAATTCCAAAGATTAACAAAAAAAATTAATTATCTTAGTGTATATAATTATATGTACTATTTTTCACAATAAAGGAGGTGTAGTTGAATAGAAGTTGAGATTTCAGTAAGAATGGATTGTTTAAAAAAGTACTTCTTTTTTTATAGAAACCTTCCATAGGTTTATACTTATAAATGTCTCTCTTGTTTTATCTTTATTCTCAAAGTTAAGAAGTAAGGTTTTTTATTACGATTACAAACTCTTCTCTCTTAAAATGAAATTACACACTACGTTTTGTCTGGCGATGGAATCAAATTATTATCATGATTAAATTAACACGTTTTAGCAAAAACGTCATACTTTAATCAGAATAATAAAAAATGTAGAAACAAAATTTAAATTTATTTACGTACCAAGCATATGAAAATCGAGTGTTTTCGGCTATTATAATTTAATTAAGAATTTTGCAATGTAGTGATTGTCATTTCTGACGGCAAGGGGATAAACATTTCTTATCAGCATCAGAAGCCTATTCGATCTAGCCAAGTTCGAACTAGTCTCTGAGTTTTTTTTACTATCTGCATGAAACTAAGCGATATACTTATTTTTGAGTATTTTTGCATAAATCGTACGAACCGGATCAGACGACTATATCAAAGAACTACCACAAGAATTATTCATAAATGTTATTTTTCAATAAACATATATATTTGTAGTTAATATTACATTCGAAATTTTGTAACCGTAAGAAATAGTTATTTTGTAAGATTTAAATTAATGCTTTCAATTTGATCAAAATTTATTTTTAATTGTAAAAATGTTTTCGTTACTTCGTTTGTTTATTAAATTAAAATTTATAGTTGCTTAACGACCCGATTGCAGTCTAAGGGTATCCAAAATTCAGCGTTTTAAAGTTTGCTTTCGTTCTTGTTGTATAATAAGTTTTAATTTTTATTGGACTTTGAAATGTAAGGGTGAGTTACCTTGGGCTCAGCTATATAAACCACTTATTTTTTATTTACCCTCAGAGCAAATGATAATTTTAAAACGATGAAATTAATAAACATTTGACGTATCCATAATTCATTTCTACACAGAGAGAATCAATATTAGCTGGGAGGATAATTGGAGGATTTGTATATATATTTTGAGAAGTTGTTTGCTGCTCTTAATTGTAATAAAATGTAAATTAAAGTGTTTTATTTACTAATTGTGTAATGCTCTCTGTGTATATTTCATTTCTATTTTCATTCAATTATAGCATTATAGCACAATTAAGCCTATAGTTATTCCAAGTATCTATAATTCATCTATCTAATATGTTTAGTTAATGGTGCAACCTAAACAACCTACTCTGGTTGCACTGCCCCCGTTATGCGCTTCGCCTAGCTCGGCTCGGGTTCCATGTGAGCTGGGCCAGATACGCCCCCTTTGCCAATTGGCCCCTGTGCCCAGCTGTATCAATGACGGACCGCAGCACGCGCCAAGAAACCAGTATTCGATGGGGATCATGATTATCGTCTTTGCACCGAGAAGCTGACTGGCGATCGTAAGGCTTCTGGTTTTATAAGGCAGTGGGATCTCCCCTCCAGTGACACCTTCGACAAGGGGCGACTATAAATCCAAATTTATTATTGGCATAATTTGTTAAATACACAAATCCAGCGGGTGTTTGCGGATTGCACAAGCCGACAGATAATCTCAGACCCCTCACTATGAGGGGTAAACAAGAAAATCTGACTCGGCACATATTCCAAGTTGGTTCGGACTTAGCGAACCTAAGAAGCACTTCCTGTGCAGTCGAAGAGTGAAACCGCTGACACAACCGAACTCGAAGCAGTGTAAGTATTATAATTTTCTCTTGTAGATCGCACGTTTCCTGGCCGAGTCGCCGGTTGATAAGCCCAAAGGTGCTGAAATCAGCGGAGCGAGGTGTGAGGTGGGATCGATGCCCAGCTGATACGGAGACGGACGCCACTGCGACGTAGTAAGCTAATGAGGAACTACTTGCGATCCGATCCGATCCGATCCGATCCGCTGGAGTTTGCCAGCGGCCCCTCTCCTCCCAAGGGGACGCACTTGGCATTGGCATTTCGCGATTAGCATGGGACACTGTTTGTTGTTTGCTCGATGACAACAGACCGCTGTTGACATCCCCCGACGCCACAAGTAATCGCGAATTCGATTTGCAGCGGGGGTTTGCCAGGGGATAATATGCAGCCGCAGTCAGGTGTAAGGAGTGCGATTGGGACAGGAAGTAGACTAGGTTGTTGGTGGTTCACTGGAGTGGTATCTCAAGGTCTACGAACCTATCCTAACGCTCTGGTGCTCTGGGGACTGAGCAATTTAACTGGGATCAACTTGAATTGATTTCAATTCCCTGCACGTGCAGTGCACTCAGAGCGATCGAATCCCAGAAACCCAATTGCGGATAACACTTTCTGTGAATGAATGATCAAATAGCCAGTAATTACTTATTAATCTCAAGCTATATACCTGCTTATATACCTAAGTCCATTTCTTGTATTTGCATTCTCAAGATGTTTACGATTACATAGTGTTTGTCGTAGAATTGCCAAACTCTTTTTTGTCTGTTTAATTTATAAACCCATTCATAATGTGTTGACTTGTGATGGAATCAAATTATCATAATGACTAAATTAACACGCAAATATCGAAAAAATTACTTTAAAATAAGCACTGAATTATGGCCGAAGCTTGGTGTTGATTTTACAAGCTAACGAGCCGCATCGCATCCCGCTTCTGACCCGCTCCAGCCCTGTCCGCGGTCCGTTTCAATTAGCAATCCCATAAAAATAAGCAGGGGAAAGAATCTCGACGCAAACCAGTTTCGCCGCGGCGTTATCACTGAAAAGCTTTAAGCTCCCGATCTACGTCACAAGCGTCGGAACGCGAGGAATGCACTGAACGGCTACGTCACGGAGCTGGGATCGAGCAGGTGCGGAATCACCTGCCTTTGTCGAGGGCACACTCGAAGCCTTCGGGTGAATCACTGGTCGAGTAATCCCTACAAGTGAAAATCCCCAGCGATGGACGACTCAGCTTCTCCAGCTTCAGGCTTGAGTGGCGCCCATAGTGATTCGCATCAACTGGGTTTTCCACCGCTTCTTGTTGTTGCTCCGTTCCAGCCGCTGCTCACTAGGAAATTATGCACACGCATCCCAAAAGGAGCACGATCTGCAGCGAAAGAAGACTCTCTCCGCAGAAACCAGTTTCGATTCCTCCACCTCTCCGCCTCTGCGCCTGCGGAGCCTTATCGGAGTCGGATTTGGCCAACTATTTTCTCTTGGCTCATGAGCAATAAGTGAAACCAGTTTCTCGACGTGTGCACAATGGGGTCTGCACTCCACTCCACACTCCACACTCTCCAGCACTCGGCGAAGGTGGGTGTTGAGCTGCGCGATCCGTTTGTTTTCGCCCAGATTATGGATGAAATACGAGCACCGGGGGAGTTTGCATTTCTGGTACCTGCAGCGGGAGAATATCCGTCGCCGTTTCGCAAGCCCCTGCGGCTTTATTGGCTTTTGTCTACCAATTAGCCAGCGGTTTCTCGGACCGTAGGCGCAATGAGGGAATTCACTTGTTTGTAATTAATAAAATAAAAATAGCAAACATCCAACAAATGTTTATGGCATGGGAGGCTCCAACGTTGCCCGGCAACACCAGCAATAACAACTGCCTGCTGGGGAGCGGGGGCCGGCGCTGGCGGGGGCGTGGCACGCACCGCCTGTGACTGACTGACGGACCGCAGAGCGCTGCGAAGAAAGAGCACAGCTGACTGACTGGTCTGGGTGAGCTGGGCGAGCTGGGCGAGCTGGGCGAGAGAGAGAGGAACCGAAATCACGGCCAGGTTGGGCGACTCACCAGCTTCGCTCGGTTAGTTAAGCGCGGCTTTTCAGTCAGTCCAGTCGAGTCGAGTCTGCTTGCCACTCGTTCAGCAGCCGCCGCGGTGCGTGAATCCCCGTGCATCCATGTCCAAGTACACGAAGCTGGCCCGCGGGCTCTGCGACCTGCTGATCTGGGCGGCCCTCAGCGTGGCCAGTCTCCTGCTGCACAAGCTGGTGCGTCCGTTCCGGCGCGGCTTCTTCTGCGGCGACGAGTCCCTGGGTTATCCGTACCGCGAGAGTACCATCGGTCACGAGCTGCTCATCGCCATTGCCCTCGGGGGGCCCACCGCGGTGATCGCTGTGGTGGAGCTCTTTAAGCAGCTGCCCGGCGCTCCGCCGCGAGACTCGGGTGGCAAGCGCGATGGCTGCCGGATTGGCCACCGTTTTGGCCAGCTTTACCGCCAAGCCATCTTCTACCTGTACGGCCTGGCCATGGTCACGTTCACCACGATGCTCTCGAAGCTGTGCATCGGACGGCTGCGGCCGCACTTCTACGCCGTGTGCCAGCCAATGATGCCGGACGGGAGCAGCTGCCAAGATGCCCAGAACCTGGGCCGGTACATCGATAGCTTCACCTGCAGCAACGCCAATATGTCCGACTTCCAGTTCAAGCAGCTCAACCAGTCCTTTCCCAGCGGGCACGCCAGCATGGCCATGTATTCCATGCTCTACCTGGCCATCTACCTCCAGGCAGCGCTCAGCACGCGCGTGTCCAAGCTCCTGAAGCACCTGCTGCAGTTCCTCTTCGTCATGTTCGGCTGGTATGTCTCGCTGACGAGGATCACCGATTACTATCACCACTGGAGCGACGTGCTGGCGGGGGCGGTGATGGGCGTGGTGTTCGCCTGGATCACTAGCGCCTACGTGGCGGACCTCTTCGCCGGCAGGCGCTGGGCCAAGGCGGGCTACTCGGCCAACACTCTGCGGAAGCCCCAGGTCTCACCCAAGAACTCCACCAAGTCGCAGGCGGGAGCAGCAGCGGTGGCCACCGGCGGCGGCCAGCCGCCCGCCCTTCCGGCCTACACCTTCGGCACGCTGCCCTATCTGGCGGCGCATCCGGCCCAGGCTCAGGCGCAGGCGCAGTACGCCCAAACCTATCACAACTACGGATACGTGCCCTGAGGGGGTAGTTCTGGTGCTTAGCAAATAACCTCACAAAAACACTCACTCTTAAACCCAGACTTGCACGAAATTCCTGTTCTGTTGTCGGTATTTTAGCAAAATAAATATTAATTACGATACGATGACGCGACTAATGACTTATCGAAAGTTGTGTTTCATCGGAGGCGATTTTCAGATATTTTCGAAAGTTGCTGCATCCCATCTTGGAGCCCCATTAGGTGAGTAGCAATCGGGTCTGGATCTGGCTTACCTAAAAAGAGAAAGACACCACAGTTAAGTTTGTGTTACAACGACTTTGGCACACTCCATGGGAGTTACAAGAACGAATAAATGGCAGATATATATGTATTATGGTTTTTTAAGAATCAGAAATACATTGCAAAGATTTACAGTTACTTGTGCTATTCACCGAACGGACACAACAAATTCATGGAGCGCAAAAAACACCTGTATGGAGTGGGTCGAACCCCCCGCCCGATTAGTAGATTCCAGCTTTAGAAATTAGGAATAAATTATCGAGACCTTAGCATATTTGTGCTGTCGATAGACGAGAGACACGAGAGCCGCGGCCAGATCAGGGGGTAAGGTTTGTGAAACAAGTTTGTGTGGCAGTAACCTCCAACAATGCTGGCCCAGTAGAAGATGCAAATGAGCTCCGCTCCGAACGGGCCAGAAGAATCCAAGACCTTCCGTCCGCCCATTCTTCAGTGTGAAAATGTGCGGCAATCCAAACACGCGTCTGCTCTCGCGGCTGGTGATCGACTTCTTGATCCTGCTGGGCATCTACGGGGTTGCCCTGGTGGTGCTGCCCCAGCAGCTGTCCACCGTCCAGCGGGGTTTCCACTGCAGCGATGCCAGCCTGCAGTACCCGTACCGCCAACCCTGGCTCACCAAGGTGCACCTAACGATCGCCGTAGTGATCCTCCCAGCGGCCTTTGTCCTGGTGGTGGAGATGCTGCGCTCCGCCTTCGTACCCACCTCTGCGGAGCTGAAGCAACGCTTCGTCTTCGTGGGCGCCCGCATCCCGAGCTTCATCAGCGAGTGCTACAAGGCAGTCGGGGTGTACCTCTTCGGACTGGGACTGACCTTGCTGGCCATCAGGCTGACCAAGCACACGACTGGCCGCCTGAGGCCACACTTCTTGGACGCCTGCCAGCCCACGTGGGGCGAGGAGGACGTTGAGAGCTGCTCGTCCCTTCTCGGGGGAAACTCCACCGCCTACGTCGAGGAGTTTGGCTGCACGGAGTTTGCCGCCTCCTCCGACCTGCTGGCGGTAGTGCGCCACTCCTTTCCCAGTGGCTTTGTGACCACAACAAGCTACGCCATGGGTTTCCTGATCTTCTACGCCCAAGCCAGGCTCTTCGCTCCCTGGCTGCGACTCCTGCGCGCCACCCTTCAGCTGGCCTGTGGATCGCTGGCCCTAGTGGTGTGCTGGGAGCGCATCTCCACCTTCCAGAACCATATATCCGACGTGGCCGCAGGAGCCGCCTTCGGGGGCTAGTGGCCCTCTTCGTGACGGTATCCGTCGCCCATCTGTTCGCGGAGGTTCGGGTGAAGAGACGACAGTGGCCCAGGAACGAGCAGATCTACAGATACGCGGGATATTACAACAGAGCAACCTATGGCTACTGATCGATGTGGGGACTACCTTTAAAATTAATAAAATGCTTTTAAATTATTAAGTTCAGTTGCTATAAAATTGCTTATATAAATGCTTTTCACGACTAGATATGAAGAGCTTTTTGATGACGACTATAACTGAGGTTTACGATATCAATTATTATGATTTTAATCTGAATTGCTTTTGTGGGAGTGAGATATAGAACGAAGTGGCTGTATTTGGTCACAAAATTTTCCCTTTTGAAGAATTCGGCTTATTTTCTGTGCATACAATGCATATGACGGCAAAGGTCGGACAAGAAATATTACCGATCTGGGCACTACGGGCTTTACTAAAAAAATTAGGTAGTGCGTCAATAATCTATTTCTGTAAATAATACATTTCTTAAAGTATTTCCTACCCGTCACGCTGCAGAAAAACGTGTAAAAACTGAAATGCTGTACTGTGTGATAGAAAAAAGAACATTTCTCACCAATTAAGGCACGTCTCTCTAGACTTAGTGGTACCTGAATTGTGTGTAAGCAAAAGAGAGCTCTATTGGATAATCCCGGGTTAATATAGGGTTTTTGTTTAAGTAATGTTCAAACAAACTATTCATAGCTGGAGCAATCTAATATCATAATAAGAAATGTGGCTATTTTGGAATAGCCAAGAGGTTAATATGTAAATGTTAGTTAGATGTTTCTCATATAAACACCAAAGTGATATTTGGGGAACACATTTCTCCAAAACAACTAAAGTTTATCTGTTGCTTAAGAGCTGGAAAAGTTGGCTTCCTACTGGTAGATCCGATACAGACTTTAATTTCTAAGAATATCTGATTTCAAAATTGTGTTCGGCTAATAAATTATTCGAATTATTCGAATAATATGAATGATATTTAATTATTTCGCTGCGCACTTTTGGACACATTTCCGAATTGACCGAGGCTAGCCGAGTTCTGTACCCAATCTCAGCATAAGCGAAGCACCAAACCTATGCTTACGATCCACAAGTGGTTGCCATTGCCGATCGCCGATAAGAGCGCTGACCGCCGCTCTCACCTCCAGTGCCCCTCCGCTCATTCTCCTCCCCTCTGATCACTCCATGGATAAATAAACAGCTTCGATCTGTTTACCACGCCAACGACGGACGCAGCCAGCCGTGGCAGACCGAGCTCAGTCGCGATCGGGAAGCGGCGCTTAAAGTTTGTGGATCGGGTTATAACGGCTTCCGAAAAGCGTTTAAACAAATAAACCCACAATAAACTGTCGCAAAGCGAACGCTTTATTTGTTTACACAGACGGAAAGCGAAAACGAGAGGCAGTAAAACTATAAACCGATCGTAAAAGTTCAATTAAAAGTGAGTAAAGTGGCTCAGTACGTCTGTGTCCTCCGCAGTGGCTAAGGATTAAAGGAGTGAGCTAGGAAGTGCCAGTGTGGAGTTAGGAACGAAATACACAAAACAGGGAGGAATACTCGCAGAGACAGGCCGCCTTAATTCAATCAAATGTCGCTTATTCATTCAATTAAAGGTCGCGCCATTTGACGTCCCACTATTAAGGCGTTTGTGAATACGAATATGAATGCGAGAGCGGGTGCACAGAGAGAAAATTAATGAGAATCTGAAAATTATTTTTTTTTAATAATACTATGATGATCATGTGAAGAGGTTTCCCGTAAAGGGATTAAAAACATTAGATTTGGTTTCCATGATTTGCAATAAATTTAATATTTTAAATTTTAGCTTCAGTAAGCAATGGATTTAGGCAAAGAAATACAATTTGTATGATTTTGCAAAAAATTACTTGTGATGGCATGTTTTGTTTCAGTTCGTTTTCGAAAACAATTTCAAATTGATCTCGCCTTGTTTTTTTCTGCGTGCAAGTGAGAGGGCGCGCGAAGGGCGCTTTGAATGTTTTCCATTTTTTAATGTAATTGACAGTTAAACTTTGTCCGCAAGCTGGACACAGAAGCCCCTCTCTGGGTACCCCGCCGGGGATGTCCGCAGATCAGAGAGCAGAGACCAGTGCAGCAGCGGTCCACAATGGGGGCCATTCTTGGGCGGGAGATTAGCGACTGCTCGAGTGTGGCGCTCCAGTCAAGCACAACTGATAGTGCGAATGTCGCGGAGACTGCCCTAGAACAATAGGGCTCCACTCAAAGAGTAACCCGTGAGTCACTCCCCCTAGAGCCTGCTAGGTGACCCGCTCTTATCGATGGCTTACGGCTCCTTTATGGCCCATCACTGCGCAGAAATCCAGTTGTGATCTCCCGCAATGAAGACACTGAGTAATCGCAAAAGCGCTGAATTGCAATGATTTGACACTAAGAAGGCCCGACTGCTGTTCGTGGCTATCTCGTACACTCTAATTTATCTTATCAAAGTGATCTTGAGCTTGTTTGAGCTACTGCACTGCCAGAAATTCCCATCTATCATGCCACATCATTCATTATTTGTCTTTGTTCTCTCTGTTTCGTAAAGTGAATTTTACATTGGCAGAAACAGGAATGAATGTTTCAAATTTCGGGGTGATTGTTCAAGTCTACCCTCTAGAGTGTCCATATTTTCTATTACTTTCATTTTTATTTCACTATCACAAGCTAATAAAGAATTATATGGTATTAAAACAATTGTTGCTGGAAATTGTATAGAAGAAATTTGATAATGTAGGTAACAAAGCTCATATTTACGAAAATAACTTAAATTTATCGGAGCAGAAGGCAGAGGAAAAAGTTGGAAATTACAATACAATTGTTGCGCAACATCCGTGTTGATCATGTTGAGAAACACTTATTGGGTGCATATTTTAATTAAGCTCCCCTCTTTCTTTCAGTGTCTGACGGCTCTTGTCTAATCTAGGCATATGCAGAAAACAAAACCGCAACCGTACTGTGATCCGCGGAGACGGCCAACTGCCATAAAAATAGGCAGTAAAGCAATTCATTTGACGCAGAGAAGCTGAAGATTGGGGAAGAGAGCAGAGCTCCGTGAGGAGAAGGGAGAATACCCATGCTCGGAGAGTCTCGCCCACCAAATGAGCGTTAAATTAAAAGAACGTTATCCAAACGAACCAGACTCAGTCAGTCATTGACAACGAACCCGAAACAACGAACGACCGCGACGGGTGAAAACCAAGCGAAGCGAAGAGCTAATTGCCGGCGAGCATAGAGCCCATTTGGAATATTAACTAATTAAAGCCAACGCGACCCATCCCCGAAATGCGCGACGCCGCCGAAGATCAATCCGTGTCCGTCTCGATGCCTGCCTCGGCCCCCGCCCCCGCCTCCGCCACCGCCACCGCTGCAAGCTCCCCTCCGGCAGCAGCGGACCGCCGACTGTGCCATCGCCTGCTCCTGGAGCTGCTGGTATTCGTGGTCCTCCTCATACCTATCTGCGTGTACGAGTTCGCGGTGGATCCCGTCCGGAGGGGGTTCTTCTGCGACGACGAGAGCATCAGCTACCCGTTCCGGGACAATACGATAACGCCGGTGATGCTGGGGCTGATTGTGGGTCTGTTGCCGATTCTCCTCTTCGTCCTGGTGGAGTACGTGCGCCACCTGAGAGCCGGACAGATTTCGACCACGGTGGACCTGCTCGGATGGCGCCTTTCCACCTGGTACGTGGAGCTTGCCCGGCAGACCACCTACTTCGGCTTCGGCATGCTCCTCACCTTCGACGCCACCGAGGTGGGCAAGTACACCATCGGCCGCCTGCGACCGCACTTCCTGGCCGTGTGCCAGCCGCAGCTGACGGACGGCAGCCTCTGCTCGGACCCGGCGAACCTGCACCGCTACGTGGAGAACTACGAGTGCGCCGGCGAGGGCTACTCCATCGAGGATGTGCGACAGGCGCGGCTCAGCTTCCCCAGCGGCCACTCCAGCCTGGTCTTCTATGCCATGGTGTACGTGGCGGTCTACCTGCAGCGGAAGCTCACCTGGCGCGGCTCCAAGCTCAGCCGCCACTTTGTGCAGTTTGTGCTGATCATGCTGGCCTGGTACACGGCCCTCAGCCGTGTGATGGACAACTGGCACCACTGGTCCGACGTTCTCGCCGGATCGCTGCTCGGCGTCGCCGGGGCCCTGATCACCGTCCGCTACATAGCCCGCCTCTTCGACCTGCCCTTCGACGGGGGCGTGGGAGCCATTCTGGGCGGTGGGCTGCGGCGGGAGAACACCGCTGCCACCCTGCAGGAGGAGGTTTGCCCCAGCACGCCGCCGCCCTACTCGGCGAACAGCAGCTACAACGACGATCAGTACTGTACGAAGGTCTGAGAGACCCCAAAGCATTCCAAAGGTAGCAATAAAGAATAGACCGAAGATCGGCCCGAGTTGAATATGTAGTATCTACACCCCGGGCATAGTATTAGTCCTAGAGCACACTCCCTGCATTTGTTAATTCCCATTAGAGTCTGTCTCTGTAATCCCATTCTACGTGTAGTAAGTAAGTCTTTGTATTATTATTTGTATATTCTAATTGCTAAAGTACAATAAATAAGTTCACCGCATTTGTTCACAGTGTCCAAAGTCTTAACCTGCCCCATTGTCTGCGTGCTCGCTTATCACTTTGTTTTGTTTTGTTTCTTAACTCGTAAAAATTTCACGTTTCAATGTCAGCCCACCCACATTCCCTCAGCTAGGGTGCAGCACAGTTGACATAGTTTTTCGCGCAGTGTTGTCATACCTGGCTGGCCTCGGTTGGAATGTGTGCTGGCCATAATGACTCATGAACATTTCGCGCCGGCGGCAAGTGCCTCTTGTGCTGCGTCATCTGAGAGGCCGGCCTCCCGAGAAACGCTTCTTCAGCGATCGTTTTGAAGGCGCCGCAGCTCTCCGAATGGATTCAATTGGTGCGCCTTCTGGTGAATCAAGCTGGTCTAATCAGATTTTGATGGACCCCTGACCCATTAATTAACTACGATTGAGAGAGATCCGCCAGTGATCTGGCGAGCTTTGCTGAGCTTTTCGGCTTCCGGGGGGCTTTCTCGGTGACTCCGGTCTACGTCAGCCGGGTTCTTCGACTCGGACTCGGAATCGGATTCGGAATCGAACTCGGACTCGGCAGTGGTCAACAGCTATCGCGTGTTTTGACGCTGATGGTTTCAGGGCCAGACGCGGACAAGGTAGCGCTATCATCGCCAGCACGTGCGTGGCAACAAGTGCTCATGTCTATATATAGGAGATGCACCGATCTGGGAAAGCAGTATATACAAGATACGCCCACTAAGAGTACACTCGTAGGCAATAAGATCCCTGAAAACTTGGAAATACAATATAATAGAAACCATTTCTAAAGGGGCTTCCCCAAAGTTTCAATTCTATTAATATCACAGACTTAATAATAAATAATTCTTGTTTATAAATGGCTGGATTCGTTCTCAGTCCCTGCTTTTGGCAGATTTCTACTCACATACTCTCCGATCACTCTGCAAGTATCGCGCATAGATCTGCTGACGACGAGCAGCACAAATATTTTCGACGCAAACGGAAAATATTTCAGCGTATTATAATGTAATCAGAGGCAACAATGCGAATTGTTTATTAATAATCCCAGTCGAGTGGGTCTGAGCTCAGATTGCTGGGGGCTGTTGTCCGCATTCGCCCCGAGTCGCAGATCAGTGACGTGTGAACAGTCGGACCGATCGCACGGATCCGCACCCAAGCCAACCAGGAACTAGCAACCGAAAATAAGCTTCAGCCTGCGAATCCGGCCCCCCATCCGCCTGCTGGTGGACCTGATTCTACTGGGCATCCTGATCGTCCTCGTTGAGAACTTTGGCTACTTCTGGGGACCGACCACCAAGCGCGGCTTCTTCTGCACCGACGAGTCCCTGAGGTACCCGTACCACGAGAACACCGTCAGCCCCACCCAGCTGCACTGGCTGGGCCTCTACCTTCCACTAATCTTCGTAGTCCTGCTCGAGAGCCTGCTCTGCTGGCACGGGGGCGTTACCCACTGGGGCCACCTCTGGTCGGTGTACAACACGGCCCGCTGGTACCTCTACGGCTACGTGGCCAACGACCTGATCAAGGGCATCGGGAAGCACACCATCGGCCGCCTGCGGCCCCACTTCTTCGCTGTCTGCAATCCGCACTTCCCGGACGGAGGCAGCTGCTCGGATGGGGTGCACGAAGATGACCTAAGCTACCACGAGGACTACATCTGCCGGTCGGAACTCACGGGAGCCACCGAGGAGATGCTGCGGGACATGCACGTGTCCTTCCCCAGCGGCCACTCGGCCATGGCCTTCTACGGCCTGGTGTTTGTGGCCCTGCATCTTCACCGCCGCCGCTGGCCCCTACCCGGCTCTCTGCTGGGCCCCGTGCTCCAGCTGGTCTGTGTGGCCCTCGCCTCGTTTGTGGCCCTCAGTCGCGTCATGGACTACAAGCACCATTGGTCGGATGTTGCGGCCGGATCGCTGCTGGGCGCCGGCGCCGCCTTTGTGGTTGTCTGGGCAGCCGCCTCTGAAGAGCGGCAAAGGTCTCTGGATGCGGGGAAGGATGCCAGTAACAGGGAGGAAAAGGAAGAGGCTAAGGACAGCCAACAGTTGGGTCGTGATTTGTGCCTTGTTACTAGCTAGTGTAATAATTAGTCGAGCTGGCGCTTTAGTTTTAGGTTGAAAATAAACTTAGTGACGAGATAATCTCGCAACGCAGCGTCTTTCTGGGAGGGCAATGGTTGATAGGAGGCGCATCTCGTGCCGTGTAGACGAAATCTATAATTATCAGGGTTAATCAAGCATTTAACCACATGAATTATATGGTAATAACACACCATCTTTGGATCATGTCGTAATTATGAGGCGCTCGTTTTGATTTTATACTGAAGATGACAAACAAAAAATAAACACAAGGCAGGTAAGGAAATAATCTTATATTGTCGAGCGGGGATTTTTTCCAGCTTTCTGAACAAAAATAGATTTCGCTAGAACGCTCCAGACTCGATTCTAGCAATCCGCCGTCCCTGAAACCCGGGGAAAACCAAGTCTGTTGTCGCCAACAATTTGCGGCTACTTCAGTTTCATTAGCAGCATTTTTTCGAACGACTTAACCCCAGTCAACAAGCTACAATGGTCCTTCATCCAGCGTCCCAATCACGGTCGGGCCGAAAAGAGATATAAATAAATTTTGGGAGTCGCCGCCGAGCAGCATCCTATGAATCTCCATCGCTGGTGATGATGCGCAACACCTGGACCCGGCCAATTCAGCTCGGGGATTTGCGACTGGGCCCCACTCCGCGCACCCTCATCAGGTGGGGCAAGGGCGCCTTTGGCAGTCGCTTAATTGGCTCATTTATTTTGATGGCAAAGAAAATGCTGGGAAATTGTGGTTATTTTTTCCTCGCCGCTTTGCCTAATTCCCGCGCCCTATTCCCCGCCTTGCCCGCATTTATTATGATTAATTATGGCCCGCACACACTGAGAAACTGACCCAAAGCTCCACTTTCTTGCCAACTTTTGCAACTGTGTCAAGTTGTTGTTGCCGCTTTCCTGCTCCTGCCCCTGCTTCTGCTCCCTGGTTGTTGTCTGGCTCGGGGTTCGAATGATAAATTTCCATGCAATTTATTTTAATCTGCAGCGAGGCTCCTGCCACACTAGCCCCGTCCTGCGCCAGCTAGTTTTCATGCGTTAATTAAATGGAAAATATTTGCATGGCCGGCACCGCCAAGGGACTGCTGAGATTGGGTTCGCAAAGTTGAGCTGCAACCCAACACAATGACCTACATCCGGCATTAGAGAAAGTTGTGTTTTGTTTTGCTTTGAGTTTGGCCTCCTCGGGAGGACAGAGGGGATGCAGTGGCCCAGCTCCAACTTGGAAACGGAGTTTCTCGGGAGTTCATTAGCAGCGGTAACTGGGGAACTTTTGCCAGCGACAGGCTGATTGCAGACAGTCAGGCCATCTGGAATGGGTTGCTTCGGCGCCCGGACCTGTTCTGGTTAAATCCCACTCTCACCTTTACCCGGCATCAATCAAAGCTTTCGCCTGGCTCGCACTTTCAATCAATTGCAGCAGCACGTGAAATTTAAGAGCTCCGTCGTCGTCGAGGCGAGTCTCTAATCGCCATCAGGTGCGATAATGCGGCCGGTTGGGGGGAAGGGGGCCTGGAACCGTCCAGTCCGGCAGTTTGTCACTGCGCATTATCTCCCCACACACCTGTCAGGTGGCCATCGCTCCGGACAGGACTTCATCGGTCCCAGAACAGGAACATCGTTCTCGCACCGTCTGCTGCATTTTTGCATGCTTGTTTGCTCAACAAAATACCCCAAAGCATTTCGGGGCTTTCCACTTTTCCCGGCCCCTGTCCCCTGTCCCCTGCCACATGCGCTTCATATTTCTGCGGTTGCCGTGTCCCGAACACCTCCCCTGTTTCTCCTGGACAGCAGTTCGCCATCAGCAGTCATCAGTGTCCCCCGGCTCAAGCTCTCCTCGGCACCGTTCATCTCTGCTTCAATCGTTGGCTCCATGTGTGTAAAGACAATTTGATAATCGCAAAATGCAGCATAGTTTGAGTTAATGAAGCTTGTGTGCCATGTGTGCCACCTTCGAATGGCAGTCGTAGTCGGAGAAGTAGGAGCAGAAGTAGGAGCAGGACCCGGAGCCAGAGCCAGACGACTGGCTTCTCCTCTGACGTCGTGCCCGTGGTTGTCGTTGTTTGTTGGACAACAACCGAAGCGTTTTGCTTGCCAATTAGTAATTTGCCGTCCAGGGAACGGTTGGCAGACCAGACCAGACCAGACCAGACTAGACCAGAACACCTCGGTCTGTCCCTGACAACCAGAGGGAGTTTTAAAATGTTCGTGGTGCTCGGCCAAAGACGAGTCTGGAGTCCATTTAAGGGCTGTCCGATTGGCGCCGCTTTAATCCAAAAGTTGTGGCAAATTACGTGCTGGCTGTCACTGATGAGAGCAACGTCACCTGGAAAGCCTGGGCTCTTTTCCAATTCAGATTGATTTGAAAGACGACACACTGCTGGGCTCAAAGATGTTTGTGAGCAGTCTGTTGTGAGCTTACTGCATCGTTTATTGTTCATCGAATGCAATGTGTCAGGACGACAATTTGAATGAAAGCAGCGGGACAGGATGCCCTAGGACTCGCTGTTGCCCGGCACGAAAACAAACCGCGTGCGTCCTTTGTGCGGAATGCGCTTCCGCTTCAATGTCCTGTCGTAGAAATCGTACGCAGCCTCGACACGTGACGTTGCCGAGCGAGAAGGGATGCGCGAAATAAAGGGTCGGCGGCCATTTTGTCGCCGCCATCACTATTAATAGGGCTAGCGCAGGACGAGAGCCAGAACCAGGAGCCAGGAGCCATGAGATGGACGGCAGACAGTAACATCCGATGCGTAGCATTCCCGTCGTGATTTTTTCGCAGCCATTCGCTTTTGCTGTGCTCTCTCTTTTTCGATGGCTCTGACATTTTTGATTGTTGTCCCCAGATCCTGGAGCCCGGACTGCAGTCGAAACAGGTGTGGCCGTCAACTGGCAATCAACTTTCATTTAGCAGCATCATTTGTCACGCTTGTTTATTGCCCGGTTACGTGTTGGCCACACTTAATGGCTGTTATTGTCCCTCCGGCAGAGACAGCCGGATGCAAGACAGCACAAGACGCCGCCAGAAGGAGTGCACTGCACGGCTCCGTAGGTCCGTAGGTCCGTTGGTCCGTGAGGTGCCATTTGAGCTGTATTGATTTAAAATCGGAGCAAGCTGCCGGAAGGAAAATGTATATGTGTTATGCCTGTCTGGGTCGCCATTCCCCCACCTTGTATCCCGCTTTGTCCGAGTCAGCTCATAACTAAAACATAACCCCAATTATGCCGCAAGCTGCGATGCTGATTCATTGATGAGCTCCGGCAGAAGCCGAAAAACGAAATGAAAACGCAGCCATGGCTAATGCCGCGTTGATTATGAATATTTTAGGGGCCCCAAACCGCCGCAATGATCATTCCGATGCTGATGGCGAAGGCAGCAGCGATTTCGTTGGCGTTGGAGATGATGATGATGATGATGGGGACCAGGACCTTCGCCTACGCGAGCAATAAATTTATATGCCTGGGCCGGGCTGGGCCTTGCCTGCCGGGCATGCGAGAATTTACATTTTGGCAATTTCCAGCTGTCGAATCCTGACTCCGGCTCCGGGTACGGGTACGGGTACGGATACGGCTACGGCTGCAGTGCCGATTGCAGATCTTCGGCGGAGTGGGGTCCGCAGCCGTATCCGTGTTGGAGTGCATCGCGTAAATTCCGTTACAACGCTGCCGGCTCGTTTTGCCAGCAAATGCAATTTCCTAATTTCTCACTGGGGAAATGGCGCTAAGACCTGGGCCCCCTGCACGGGGACTACTGACCACCCGAGCCCGGAATGGATCGGCATAGCTGATTGGCCGGACCGAACTGGACTGGACGGTACCGGACTCCCCGGAGGTGGTTCAAGAGGTGTTCGCTTCCAAATTAATGACCCGACGCCGCAGACGATGAACAGCACAAACAAAACAGGAAGTGCAGCCGGAAAAAAGGATCGGAGTGGCCGCAGACAAAGGCGCATAGATGCATAAAGCGAAGTCGGAAAATTGCTGCAATTGGAGAGGTCTCACCAGGGGTGGGGGCCACCTGTCCCTCCTGCGCGTGCTTATGCCCGGCAAATTGGTTTATGCATGAGGCCAGGCGAAGCGCAGTAAATGGGATGTAAGGAGCTTCACACTAAGCAGCCAAAGCGGTGGCTGATATGATGGAAACACCGGCTGGTCTGGCCCACTGCCTCCTCCATCCACCACGATGAACCGCATTCACCGGGGTCGAGGGTCGACGAGGGTCGAGAGAGCCGGGCTAAGTAAATTGTTGGCTCAGCCCTTGATTAGCTTAGTAGAGTTCGGGGTAGGGGAAGGTCAGTGGCTGGAGGAAGCTGTTGCCGGGGCCGTAATGCATTTTGAAAACCACACGAGCGGAATTTATGCATGTGCATCCGTTCTACGTTCTCCGTTCTCCGTTCTGGAGAAGGGCCCTCCTGCCCGGGGCCTTGCATTAAAATTTCAATATGCAGCTCTTGTTTTATGCCGCATTAAAGCTAAGTGCAACGCCCAGGTTCCCATGGGGGCCATCCAAGCTATCAATGAATACAGCAGGAAAAAATGAAGTGTTCTTTAAATTCCTGGTAAAAGGCCATGCTCCAGGCCACGTTCCAGTGTCTAATGACAACCACATATCGTATTCTATTCTCCCCTCTGGGCCCAATCCCTTCCAGGTTCCATCTGCACGGCAAAATCAATAAACGACTACAACCAAAATGTCGACGGCTTAGCAGCCAAATTGGATTCGAAAGGGATCGAGGGACTAGAAAAAAGAGGGGTAGTACCCTTCCTGGCAAGCCGGGTCTAAGTAAGCACATAATATGACACGGATGGGGAGAGCAGGGGCCCGGCATAAAAGTAAAAGTAAAGGCAAAGCGCAGATTGTTTTCGGACCCATCCGACGGGGATTAAGATCTGCTGCAAAACGGCAGTCGATGATGGCGCTCGGAGCGGGAAGGCACAAATGCGAACCCCGTTAAATGTTATGGAAGCCGGCTCCTGCAACGGCCGAATGAAAGCGAAAGAGTGAACGCATAATCATCACTTTTAACGGCAGGAAGGAGGCAACGGAAGGACGAAGAGG